TTTTCACAGAGCATTGTGAGGTTTTTCAGTGCACTAGAAAAATTTTGCAATTGAGACAACACTTAAAATGGCTGACCTGAACAAAGGTGCTGCTTGAGATCCACCAAGACGTCATAGCAGATCCCTAGCAACCCCCCAGGACCCTCTGCAACTTAAGTTAATTGACTCATCTAAATTGGCACCATAGCCATGCTCCTAGTAAGTAGGTATCTCTTAAGAGGAATCACTATCTGTTCATTAGATACTCCTGCAGGGGAGTTCTCGACATCTACCTGAGCTCAAACTCCCCTCTCGCATTGCAAATGGGAGGGAGCCCCAGGCTCAAGGATCTTATGAGCTCGGGGCAGTTTCCCGGGAAAACATGCCAAACAAGCTTTATAATCCATCATCAGCTAAGTGTGAACTCTTGAAATGGTTGCTGGTATATGAAACAATCAAATTATTTAGCTATAATGTACTTTTATGTTTTCAAATTACAAGTCAGACTTCAACAAATAGTTACAATCAACAAGGTCACATTGTATTTGTTCAAATCAAACACAAATGTTGCACAGGAGTGGGGGAAAACTTTAATATTGTAGAAGGATTTCTGCTGTGCAGGTCTAATCTAAACCCACTTTAATTTGCTCCACTGGTGCTCTATACCTGCTTATGGCATATGCCTGGATTTTGGGATTTCCGTTTTTTTAAAAAGTGCCAGCCTGAGACAATTTCTTCAGTAAGGACAGTTAACACTGCAGTGGGCCGCAGACACACATGTGTTTGGTTTTAGCGGACCGCAAGTTAAAGTTTGGGAACCAGAACCGCTGGTTTATAATGTAGGAGTTCTAGCAAAGCATTCACAACAATCTAACACAATGTAAGCTTGAACCATTTTTGACGAAGATTTACAAAGGTCGCTTTCTTTTATTTCAGAAAGAAGTGCTGTGAAGGTTTCAAGTTTGTCCTGGGTCAGTGTATTCCAGAAGGTAAGATTACTCTCTCTCTTTTTCTCTCCTTTACCAGGATTAGACTCCTCTGGGTTGAATTTGCTCTGATATTTCTGGACGTGTTTTCCCTCGCCTCCCATTAGCATTCTAAACAAAATCATTCCTGTTGGCCTCAAACCAGCTTGGGCTCTTAATGTTGTTTTAACATTTCCAGCACACCTTTAAAGAGCTTGGCATGTTTTCCCTAAACCAGAAACGATTGCTTGATTACCGTGTGTGTATTTTTATAGTAGGAACAGGCCCGTATATATATTAGCTTACCAATGCCGTAATATACTTCTCCATCTTCGGTTGAGGGGTTCAAACCACTAACAAGTTTTTACTCGTAACTGTCTTGCAATTATAAAGTCTGCATTCTGCGGTTCACCCTGCCGCATTGAGAAACTTTCTGGAAGTTTCTTTTTTTCAGTTTCTGTGATGTTTGTGTCCTCACCTGCCCCCTCTGCACTGATGAGAAACACATAAAGCACCGGTTGAAAACGGACACATATTTCTCTGACTCACACAGCGCTTCATGCTGGGCCTGTTTGGCTATTTCAAGAGGAATCGTGGAATAATGAAAAGATGCGAGGATTCTTGAACTGGAACTTGCGGTGCTTCTCAGATCGCACTGTTTTTGTTTTTACTATTATAGTGCAATTCTGAGGCTTGAAGTAGCAGCACATTTGCATGTGGTTTTCGGAAATACAGATTATATTGTGGGTTTTGTTTTAAAGTGTGGTTTGTTTGCTATTTTGTCTTGTCACTGTTTGTGGTTGCGTTTGTGTGTGCAGATTATGATGTGTGTGCCGGCGCCCCGTGTGAACAGCAGTGTACGGATCATTTCGGTCGGGTTGTTTGCACCTGCTATGACGGGTATCGATATGACCGGGAACGACACAGAAACAGGGAGAAACCATATTGCCTGGGTAAGCTTTTGATCATGTTTATATAAAGATATTGAGAAAATCTATTTGAATATGATCACATGCAGATGACTGAGTGACTGCAAAAATTATATATAATAATAATAATAATAATAAAATAAAATAAACAAAATACAGTGCATCCGAAAAGTATTGCAGCAAATAAACTAAAGTAAAACACACACACACCCAATATATAAAATAAATAAATAAAATAATAATAAATAAATAAATAAAAAATAAATAAATAAATAAATAAATAAATAAATAAATAAATAAATAAATAAATAAATAAATAAAAAGGGAGAATATACAGTGTAAACCAATGAGGAAAAAATCTTTTATCAAACCATGAGGTACTGTTTTTACACAACTAAAAAACTATTCCAAATCTTTTTAAATAATTCATGTTTTTTTACCTTTTTTAACTGAAAAAAAAGAGTTTAACTTTCAAAGAGTTCAAAACTTTAAATTAAACTTGTCATTTACAATGCTTTGAAATGACACAAATTTAAAGCATTAGGAATATGTAACCGGACAAAGACATCAGCTCCCTCTATATGAGCGTTTTTTTTTTAGTTTCCTGTTGTTTGATTTCTCAATGTCTTTTTAATATCAGCGTGAGTGTATTAGTTTTTTTTTATGGATCTGACCTCCAGGACTGTTGAACTGTGAAGTTGATTTGATAGGACTCAAATGTTGTTTCTCCCAGAAGCGATTCATGCCGCCCAGGGAGAGAATATCACGTCTTTTGCGCTTTGCCAACTTTCTGTCCCTCACACTTTTCCTCTGTTTTTTTTTTTTTCAGACATTGATGAATGTGCCAACAATAACGAGACTGTGTGCTCACAGATGTGTGTGAACACTCCCGGCAGCTACCGGTGCGACTGCCACAGCGGCTTCTACCTGGAGGATGATGGGAAGACATGCACCAAGGGCGAGAGAGGTAAGTTTTGTGTGTGTGTGTGTGTGTGTGTGTGTGTGTGTGTGTGTGTGTGTGTGTGTGTGTGTGTGTGTGTGTGTGTGTGTGTGTGTGTGTGTGTGTGTGTGTGTGTGTGTGTGTGTGTGTGTGTGTGTGTGTGTGTGTGTGTGTGTGTGTGTGTGTGTGTGTGTGTGTGTGTGTGTGTGTGTGTGTGTGTGTGTGTGTGTGTGTGAGTGTGTATGCCTATATCTCTGTGTTTTTGCATTTACAGCTGTCAAAGTAAATGAGGACACGCGGAACAGATTTTCCGAATAACATCCATCTCTCTGTTAGATTAAAATTTCTGTGGAATGATACTTGTGCAAACCTGGGCCTGTATTAACAAAACATCTAGATTTAATATAAATATTAAGACTTCTGCATGGATTGGTTGATGGTTGGATGGATGGATATATGTAACAAAAAGATGGATGGATGGATGGATGGATGGATAGATGGATGGATGGATGGATGGATGGATTTGAAGAATATGTATAAAAACATTTGGATGAATGGATGGATGGATTGAAATATTTAACAAACATATATGGATGGATGGACATATTTAACACACATATATCACAATATCACACTCGTAGCAGTGTGCTATGGCTGTATATCAGCACTGGTGGGAGGTGTGCCTTAGCGCCCCACCAGTGCTGATATACAGCCACAGCACACTGCTACGAGTGTGATATTGCGTTTTTACAACAGTTTGACGACACAATCTTGTACATAAAAAAGAAAATCAAACACAGGTAGTCTAAAACCCTTTTGTATTAGGAACTACTTTCTTCTGCCATTCATTCACATCTGCAGCTGACATCAGAACAGCAGAAGCCATTACTAATTTACCAACGCCACTTTAGAGCTAGTATTTGAATAATTCTCTATAGCGTAATGAGAAGCAGTGCTTCTGGTGTGTGACCCCCTTAAAGTGATGACAAAACAGCAAATTTTTCTCACATTTTAAGATTATACAGCTGAACTTGATATGAAATGCCATCCGTCTACAGAGATTTCTCACCAGACTGCTGTTGTGTTTGCGATAAGGAGGGAAAAGGCTAAATCCAGCTTCTTATTCCATCTTCTTATTGACACTATCGGATAAGTGTATAGACGCTATATAGCGTCGGTATAAGTGTGAATGAGTGTGTTCCCAGAGATGGGTTGCAGCTGGAAGGGCATCCGCTCCGTAAAACATATGCTGGATAAGTTGGCGGTTCGTTCCGCTGTGGCGACCCTAGATTAATAAAGGCAAAATAAGCCGAAAAGAAAATAAACGAATCATATTACAAATATTTACTAAATATGATTATTCCACATGTTCAAATATACTATTTATTTATTTATTTATTTCACATAAACATTAAGGATTGATTGTCTGTTAATCTTAGAAGATTTACAAAAAAATAAATGAATAAATCCATTTTGTCATCTCTTCTGGTCTGACACATTTATAAGACATTACTTCCTGTCTCTCTGCAGGAAGTCCACTGACCCATCACGGTTAATGACTTGGGACACCAGCTAGCAGTTAGCATTAGCATCAATCACTTTCTCCTGTGTCCATCTATCTTTTTAGTCTTACTGGTGGAGCGTTTCAGTCGGTCAGTTTCCTGTGTGCTGTCTCCTCTCTGTTGGGTCAGTTTGAGCACAAAACATGATGAACTTTCTGGCCATTCACGGTTGCAACAATCCAGATGTACAAAATAGGAATTCTGGGAATTCCAGAAAGCTGAGATTACAGAGTGCGGATCAGATGAGGTTATCAGTTACGAGTCAAACTGAGCTGTAGGAGTCTCCAAGAGATTGGGATTGAACTTTTGGCATGAATGACATGAGCTTGTGTATTTCTGATTAAAGCTGTATTTAATGAGCCTCCTTTCTGACCTAGAGCACAACTGCAGATCCCTGTTTACATTCATGACACACTTTTGTGGCAAAATTAACTCTGAACTAAAACTTTCACATAGAAAACGAAACCATATAGTTTTAGTGGAACTTTCTAAAAACTCCAACCAGGGTGAAGATTTTTCAAAAAAAAATGGGATTGTGGATGCTACAACCAGAGTCTTTGCCTCATGACATCAGCGTGCGCTGTTTTCTCATTTCTGATTGGTTAACATGGCTGGGTTCAGGGCAAACACGGTGAGGCAAATTCTGCACATTAGCGGCAATTATATAGAGTATACCACATTGCTCAACCATGGGATGGTAAAGTGTAAGAACATTTCAGACTCGTTCCTGCAGTGTGACTTCAGCTGCAACAAGCATCAAACCAAGATCAATCCACATTGACAATTTTAAGGGCCCTATCATACACCTGGTGCAATAAGGCACAAGATGTGCAAAATTTGCCCTCTCTTGTGGTTTGTAATGTTATGGGCAGCACAAATGTCTTGAGACCTCAGGCTGCTTGTGTTGGCATCCACTCTGGAGATCTTTTGCACACCCCCACACTGAATGCAACCCCAAACCATAATTTTTCCTTCACCAAACTTGACTGATTTCTGTGAAAATCTTGAGTCCATGCGGGTTCCAATAGGTCTTCTGCAGTATTTGTGATGATTGGGATGCAGCTCAACAGATGATTCATCAGAAAAATCGACCTTCTGCCACTTTTCCAAATGATCAACTAGAAGTCAAGTTATTATTTTAGTTTAGTTAGTTAGTAAGTTAGTCTGCTCAACAACCTTCCTTAAAGGGACAGTTCACCTAAAAATCTAATATGCCTCATTTATTCTCACTCATGGTTTTAAACCTTTATGAAGATGCATATTTGGAAGAAATGTGGCTGCTAGCATCCACTGACTTGTAGAGAAAAAATACTTTGGAAGTAAACAAATGCCAACAACCAGCCTATTTCAGAACATTTTCTTTTTGTGTGCAACAGAATAAAGAAACTCAAATAGGTTTTGAACCCAGTGAATGATGGCAAAATGTAAATTTTTGTGTTAAATTTTTTTCTTTCAAATCCCCCATGTCATCATGTCATCTCTTTGCAGCTCCACTCTTTGAAAAATCAGACAACGTCATGAAAGAAGGCACGTGTTCGGCCACATGCGAGGACTTCCATCAGATGAAGATGACTGTTCTCCAACTCAAACAGAAGGTACAATATATTCCTGCTTCACCTGCAGGGTTTATTCTCGAAAACAAGCAGGAGATTTCATTTTATATGCATGTCCTCATCCACACACTTGAGGCGACCCAGCAAGAACCTACCTGCCAATATTTCACGAGCTAAGTCAGACGTGGCTTTACAGGTCTTTAGGGATGTGTTGGTGACTTTATAGGTGAAAATAAAAAGTGATAAAACACAGGCCAAAATGTCTGACTTACGTCTGTCCTTGCTGGAGGCTAGTAAATCAGGCTGAAAGCAGCGATGCGGTTTAGACGGGCGAAGAGTCTGTGTTTTGCAGTCAAAGCTAGACTGTCAACAAATCCACTCAACACCCTCATGGCCGCGGTGTGATATATGGCTTTTGCGCGTGTGGTCCAACAGGCTGTGAGGGGAAAAGATCGAGAGAGTAAAAGAACATTCTGAACTGGATGATTGAAGCTGGTGTTTTGGTCGTACGAGACGGTGACGAAAAAAAAATGTTAATGAGGTTCTTGTTCGTGTTTTTTTTTTTCTAATATTTTCATAGTACCTTTGCTTCTGTTATTTATTTATTTACATTATTTTTCACATATTTACTTAATTTTTAATTACTTTTTATTTACTAATGTATTTACTTATTTATTAACTTATTTAATTACTTATTTACTTTTCTTATTTATTAACTTATTTAATAATTTACCTTATTTATTTATTTATTTATTTAATTATTTAATTTTTTACCTTATTTGCTTATTTATTTACTTTATTACTTATTTACTTATTTATTTTCTTACTTAATTGCTTTATTTATTTATTTACTCATTTATTTATTTATTTACTTACTTATTTTCTCATTTAATTGCTTTATTTATTTATTTATTTATTTATTTATTTATTTATTCATATACTCATTTATTTACTTATTTATTAAATTGCATATTTATCTATTTATTTATTTATTTATTTATTTATTCATTTACATTATTTAATTACTTATTTAATTTTGTTAAATTATTTACTTATTTAATATATTACCTATTTGATTACTTATTTATTTACTTATTTAATTACTTATTTATTTAATAACTTATTTACTTTTTTACGTACTTGTTTACTTATTTATTTACATATTTATTTATTCATTTACATTATTTATTTACTTATTTAATTTAGTTAATTTATTTACTTATTTAATTAATTACTTAGTTATTTATTTGCTTATTTGTTTGCTTATTTATATGTTTATTTACATACTTTTGTACTTATTTACTTATTTATGTAATTATTTATTTATGTACATTTTTACTTATTCATTTACTAATTTAATTACTTATTTACTTATTTGCTTATTGAAGTATGTATTTATTTATTTATTTACTTATTTACTTATCTTATTACTTATTTATTTACTTATTTACTTAATTATGTATTTATTTATTTACTTTTTTATTTAATTAATTATTTAATTATTACTTTTTTACCTATTTATTTATACATTTATTTATTTATTTATTTATTTATTTACATTTATTTTTTGGAAGAGGTTATATTTGCTTTGTGTGCAGGGTAAAAATTGATTAGTTGACTTAACTTTAAGAAACAAAAGTGCTAAAATTTTAGTTTAGGGACCAGTTTTCACTATTGATAGTGTTTTTTTTACCTGCCTATTATTAAGATATTGGCTGTTTATTATTACTTATAAAGAGCATATTACACATGGTCATATTCTACACCCCTAATCCTATATTTAATACTCAATCCCAACTACTTTAATAACTATTATTAAGCAGCAAACTATGAGTTTATTGCAGCAAAAATCAGAGTTAATGGTTTGTTCATAGCGAGAATTGTACCTAAAAAAAGTGAGTAAACCAGTGGCTTTTAAAGGGTTTAATTGACTTGAAGTGAGAAAATGTGTTGCCTTTAAACGATCAAGTTTATGAACTAACGTGCATATTTCTAA